TGTGTAGGAGGGACACACACACGTCGTTACACTTAGCGGTATTCATTCATCACTCCCACTCTGTACTTCCAACTTCTCTCCAAGACAGCAACAATTTTCAGGCACTTAAAATCCTTAAATTTTATACTATACTTACTACAACTGACAAAACATACAATCAGCTGTCAGTTGAAATCGCTATAAGTAGATAAATTCAGTGTCAACCCTGAAATTTTATAAATCTATATACATGGCATGGTTAAAGACTATATACCAGTGAATGTCCATTACAGTAACTAGTAACCCAGGAACTGAGGAATTATGCCTTCATTCATACCTTGATATTCCCAACTCTGCTTAATGTTAATTTCAATTCCATAGTAAGAGAAAGCAGCTTTTCATGATTCCTGAGTATATGACAATTTCACTTTTTTCCCCATTGTCTACATTGCTACTGCAATGGGAAACCATTGACTGTGAAGTCAATTTAATGCTTATGAAACAGAATTCCTTGGATCTTGTCTAGGAAAGACCATATCAACTTTCACTCTGAAGCAGAGAGTGATCACATCAAGAGTACAGTGTAACAATTCCAAATACTCCTAGACTGAATGTTGCAAAGGTATAACTTCTGTGTTGAGAGACCATTCTCTAAAATGTCTAAACACTTCCCTGCCTCCTTCAACAATATATAATAAACACAGCTTAACTTTTTCCTCATGGCATAGGACATTCAAACAAGACAACAGACTTGAAATTAGGAGGACTGGGTTTAACTAACTGGGTCAAAATGTACTGGGAGAATTATCTCAATCAATTTGCTACACCTCCCTGGGCTTGTCGTCTTTGATATGGGTTCACCCAATTTCCTCTGAGCTGTTTTAAAGAGGAGGTTAAACAGCACACAGGAAGTTCCAGGTGCTGTAGACTCTCTCTTAGAAGGTATTCCGTGAGATGTCAGCTCTGCCCCTCCGTACACAAACTGAACAGGTGAGTAGTTACCCTACGCTGCAGGCCCAGCACTGCTCCATGCAGGTAGAGTCAAGAACGGTTCTCTGGGGTTGGTACTCTGACACAGCAGGTTAAGCCTCTGCCTGTGACCCGAGCATCCATATGCATGAGTTCGAGTTCCAGATGCTCCATTTCCAATCCAGCAACCTGCTGGTACACCTGAAGGCAGTGGAGGATCATCCAAGTGCTTGGGCCCCTACTTTCTCTCTCTTTCTCTAACTGCCTTTCAATAAATAAATCCTGAAAAATATGGGTCTCTGGTCTCCAGACAGAATAAATGCAAATCCAGGTCCGACCCTAGGTCTCCCCTCTGCTATCTCTTTCCCATTTTCCTTCTCCTTCTTTCCTTTTTTTTTTTTTCCCTTGTGAAGGTGCATAAACTAACTACCTATACACGGTTTCTCATATTTCTCTTTTTCTCATAAAAGTGGAATCTGAGGCAGTGAGGCACCTGACTCTTGGGCTATCTCTATGGCTGCCCTTCTATAAACTTCTTTCCTATTTCCAAGTAGTGTTTGTGTGTGTGCATGTGTGTGTGTGTGTGTTTAATTAAGATTTATGTATTTATTTGAAAGGCAGTTAGAGAGGCAGAGGCAGAGAGAGAGAGAAAGAGAGGGAGAGGTCTTCCATCTGCTGGTTCATTCCCCAGATGGCTGTAACAGCCAGAGCTGCGCCTATCAGAAACCAGGAGCCAGGAGCTTTCTCTGCAACTTTCATATGGGTGCAGGGGTCAAAGGACTTGGACCATCTTCTACTGCTTTCCCAGGCCACAGCAGAGAGCTGGATCAAAAGTGGAACAGCTGGGATTCGAACCCGCGTGCATATGGGAATCCCGGCACTGCAGGTGGCGGCTTTACGCGCTACTCCAGAGTGCCAGCCCCAGCCAAGTAGTGTTTTGACCTTTTGAAAAGTCAGCTACCCTTCTATTTTCAGCTCACATTTCAATGACATTTTTTGCCACAGGCAGTAAACACACATACATACACCGACACACACATGCATGCATACATACATATATATGGTCTTCAAAAATTTCATGGAAAATAGAGTTAAAAGCTAAGTATATTTTCATAGAAAGCACTTAAAAATCAAAGCATAGTTTTGTCACTATGTGCATTTCCCATAAACTTCTTTGAAGATCCCATGAGTGTTCATGTGTATATGAGTGTGTGTAAACTCGGACATTCTGAAAGAAAACACAAAACAATCAAGGCAAATAGAATGGTGGTTCTTATATTTGTATGTGTATTTTAGCTCAGCCTTCATAGCAATTGTTGTGCCCTGTGTTTGCTGACAATTTAAACATGCTTTATAGCCTTTAGCCTCGAAGTTTAAACTATTTGGTTGCTAATGCAGTTAAGAACAGAAACTACTTACTTAAGTAAGCTTTATTTTATTTATTTATTTATTTATTTATTTAGACAGGCAGAGTGGACAGTAAGAGAGAGAGACAGAGAGAAAGGTCTTCCTTTGCCATTGGTTCACCCTCCAATGGCCACTGCAGCCAGCACGCTACGGCCGGCGTACCATGGTGATCCGATGGCAGGAGCCAGGTACTTATCCTGGTCTCCCATGGGGTGCAGGGCCCAAGGACCTGGGCCATCCTCCACTGCACTTCCCTGGCCACAGCAGAGAGCTGGCCTAGAAGAGGGGCAACTGGGACAGAATCCGGCGCCCTGACCAGGACTAGAACCCAGTGTGCCAGCACCACAAGGCGGAGGATTAGCCTAGTGAGCCGCGGCGCAGGCCAGTAAGCTTTATTTAAAAAAAAAAAAAAAAAAAACAGTATTTATGTCATTTCCATAGCACGTCAGTAAAGTATGAGCTGATGGCTATAAATCTTTGGAGATAGGCATGCGTAAGTTCAAGAATATAATTCAGATAAAAAAGAGACATTGCCTAAGTTAATTTTTTTAAAGATTTAATTATTTATTTGAAAGGCAAAATTACAAACAGAGAGGTAGAGACAGAGACACACATAGGAACAGGGAGATTGATTCCATCCACTTATTCACTCCCCAAAAGGCCACAAGGGCTGGAGCTGGGCCAGTCCAGAGCCAGGAGCTTCTTCTGGGTCTCCCAGGTTAAGTGGCAAGGGCCCAAGGACTTGGGTCATCTTCTGCTGCTTTCTCAGGCACATCAGCAGGGAGCTGGATTGGAAGTGGAGCAGCCAGGACACGAACAGCATTTATATGGGGTGCTTCCATCACAGGCAGAGACTTTATCTGCTATGCCACAATGCCAGCCCCCTGCCTGCTTTAATTTTACAATGCATAAAATTTGGCTGGGCTGTCCTTGAATTTGTGGCCCATAACCTTTTTATAAATTTTTTAATTTATTTTTTAAGGAATATAAATTTAGTAAGTACAACCTTAGGAATATAGTTATTCTTCCCACCATACCCACTGTCCCACCCCTCCACTTCCTTCCTCTCCCCTTGCCAGTTCCATTCTCCATTAAGATTAATTTTCTATTAACATTGTACACAGAAGACCAACTCTATACTAAGTCAAGATTTCAACAATTTGCACACACACACACACACACACAACCATTTGAGCTAGTTTTGCAGTTAACTCTCAATACAACTCATTGAGGACAGAAGTCCTGCATGGGTAGTTAGTGCAGTGACTCCTGTTGTTAATAGTTAACACTCTTACGCCTTATAGTATGATGGGCTATTTTTCCTTTTCTTTTCACTATTTTCATTGCAGCTGCCAGAATTCCCTCAATTATCATATGGAACATATCCTGAACTCTACTAACATCAGAAGACAGTAGACAATATCATGTGTTTCTAGAGAAAATTTGGTGAAACGCTGAACTCCCATGCATTATTCCAGACCCAATACCACCTTCTCTGGGGGAATATTGTACTGATGGCCCCATGAACCCACAACCACCTGTCCCCATACTGTTTTATATTTTGCTTCCTTTACACTTCAATCCAAATGAGAATGTGTAATAACATATTTGCCTCTTTATCTCACCAGGATATGAACCTTTCAAGAGAGAAGAAGGTTTTTTTTTTTTTTTAAAGTATAGAAGATACTGAATCCAAGTTGGATGAAATGTAATCAAAGAACAAAATTTTACAAAAGTGGATAAATATCCAGTCTGTATATCGAGCTGATTTATTTGAGGAGTTCTCAAACATAGATGGATGCCCTTGGAAGATCCCTATGAATCCTGTCACAATTTTCGGGATGAATGAATTAGGATTTCAAACCATCACATTCTAACCTAAGTGTCTTAGACCCAGACTCTGAGGTATGTGTAGAGGATAGGATGCCATACACTGGACATTGCTTTTTGGAGCTTTAATTTCTTTTGTTTAATTTTTAAGAAACAAAAAGCCATGAATGAATCACTGAGCTGCAGTGGTAACAGTGAGAATTCAAGTTATCTGCAAAATTGTCCTTATAATAATTCTTTAGTATATTTTTTTATTTGACAGGCAGAGTTAGACAGAGAGAGAGACAGAGAGAAAGGACTTCCTTCCGCTGGTTCACCCCCCAAATGGCTGCTACAGCTGGCACGCTGAGCCAATCCGAAGCAAGGAGCCAGGTGCTTCTCCTGGTCTCCCAGGTGCAGGGCCCAAGCACTTGGGCTATCCTCCACTGCCTTCCCGGGCCACAGCAGAGAGCTGGACTGGAAGAGGAGCAACTGGGACTAGAACCTGGTGCCCATATGGGATGCCAGCGCCACAGGTGGAGGATTAAGCAAGTGAGCCATGGCGCCAGCCCCAGTTCTTTAGTATATTTTTAAAACATACCAGCAAGCACTGCGTTAAGATTAAAATACTGTGTATACTGGATCATATTAAAAATAAAATTGCTCTGCTTACTCTCTACCACTTCAGTTATAAAAATTAAGTAGAATGTGAACAATTTGCGGAACACCACAATGAGTAACAAGAACGATAACCCAATCTCATTCTGCAAGGTTAATCTCCTCTGTTTAGTTGTAGCTATGGTGTACGGGCTCTCAGACAGCATATGGAACCATACCTGTCCAGTGTATGCAAACTCCAGAGCCTGCTTCAAGCCAAGGCTGGTCACACCATGCAAATTCACTTCATCAGCTCCACTTTCCACCATACAAAGGCTGAACATTGCCTGAAATCGGGAAAGAAAGAAGAGAGGTAGAATCATGGGATTTAACAAGGAAGCAAGGAGAGGTCCTGCAGAATAGAGAAAACAAACACAAAAGTTTTCGGAGTTAGAGACGGATCTTGAGCTTTGAAATGCTTCTCCAAAACTTCATTCACACAAGTCACCAAGAGTCACTTTGATGTCCACACAGTTACAGTAATAATGCACACAGCAATGCTTTTCTCACGTGCACAGCCATATTGCAGGTGACGGTTTAGGCTCACTGAATTCATTCTCTCATCCTGTGGTCTCAGTGTTAGCAAGTAATGTACACTATCCTGACGTCATGGAAAGTGGCACTTTTGTCTCTTGATTTCTCTGACTTTATTCTGCCTCATTTACAGACACATGTTGTTCCTTTCATCTGCCTGGAACACACGTCCCATTCCTGTGACTCTCAAAGTGTGGCCCCTGGGCTGGCAACATCAGCATCATCTGGGAACTTGGGCGAGTGTACATTCTCAGGGCCTCACCCCGGACCCTCTGCACTGGAACCTCTGAATGAGACCCAACAGTCAACATTCTAACAGGTCCTCCAGGTGACTCTGATGCCTGCTAGAATTCGAAAGCCATTGCTAAGAGCAAACCAGTTTGCTCTCAATTATCCAAACTGAAACACCTGTTCTTCAATAAATGATAGCATTCAAATGAAAACTTGAAAATAAAAAAAAAAACACTTGCCAGGTTAAACAATTTAATTTTTTAAAAAACAACACACAAAATCTCATGTTAATTTGTACACCTTTAATAAGTTTAACAAATACAGAATACATCCAACTTCAGCTACTGTTGATGATATACACTATTTGAAAACCTGTTCTTCTGCACAGGGAAGAATCAACTTATCCAAGAGAGACCTGGCCTTTTCTCTTGACTTCTGGGAGGTAACCTCTAGGCCCTTGAAATATCCTATTTGATAGGAGTGTCCTTGTTTGCTCAGGGGCTGTAGCCACCAACAATTTAACCATGTGATTTGTGATGGAACTTTGCATTATACCCTATCAGTGGTGATATCCAGAGAAACTGGACACTAAACATATTAGTCCAAACTCCAGAAGAGGGTACAGACCAAAGGTCAGCCACACAGTCAATATGTGAATAGAGGAGCTCCTCAGGTTAGCAACCCTCTGTGCATATTGTCAAATATGGTGTCCAGGAGCAGGTAACACCATCTGTTACTCCATAGGTGGGAGGGAAGACAACCAGATCTGTCTGGTTCCCCTCGAAAAGTCTGCCCTGGTGTCTCTTCCTTTGGTTTGTACTGACAGATTTGTATCTCTTTTCTATAATAAACCATACCTGTGAGTACAAAGTTTTCAGTGGGTCTGGTGACTTTATAGGGAATAACAAACCTCAAGGTAGTATTAGGAACCCCCTGAACTTGCATCTGATGTTAAAAATGAGGAAAGTCTACAGAGATCATTCCTTCAGATTTTATAATTTGACTAACTTCATAGAAATATATTCCGTAGTCATAGAAAAACAAAAAAAGTCTCACTATTCTATGTGGTATTTATTTAAATCATGCTAAATTTTTTTATTTAAAAATGTGAATTTTTTTTGCCAATGTACCCATGTGTAGCAATTTATTTTAACAAATTTGGTTTTAATCTTTACGATTCCATATATTTTAAATTAATATGTATAGAATGAGCAGTATAAATTGATTGGTCCATTATTCACTGTAAAGATCCCCATTTCTGTCTCACTGCATTAGAGAGAGTTTTAAGGATTCATAATAAAGAGGATTCCTGGGTTGGTTGTTTTGGCCTGGTAGTTATGATACCACCTGAGATGCCTATAACCTGTATCTGAGTGCCTGGGTCTCAGTCCCAGGTCTACTCCTGATGGAGCTTCCTGCTAATGCACACCCTGGGAGGTAGTGATGGTGACTTAGGTAGTGGGGACCCTGCCATCTTTGTGGGAGACCTGGATTGAATTCCTGACTATTGGCTTCAGTCTGGCCTAGCCTTGGTTATTGTGAGTATTAGGGGAGTGAATCAGCAAATGGGAGCTCGTTTTCTCTCTCTCTCTCTGCCCCTCCAAATAAATTAAATAAATAAATAATTTTTAAAAGAAGAGGATTCTCTATGGTAACACAGTTTAAAGTTTTACTGTTAGAAATACAAAATTATTCCCTCCTACCTAAGAAATATTTTAAGGAATATTTTTAAATACTTACAATTTGAGAAAATAAAAATAACATTTAAAATATTCTAAATATTTTAGGAATATTTAATGTATAATATATGTGGTGGTATTTGATATATTAAAAGAAAATTTCAGAATATATTTAATTTTCAAAAACTTATCATGAATAAAATACAAAAAGCTCTGAATGTTCCTTTGGAGACAGCAATGGTCACATAGAAAAGTGCAGGAAACACTTTATTTGTGTTACCCTATCTCCTAAGGAATCTAGAAATCCTAGAAATCTCTTTGGCCACTGTATCCCCTTACAGGTGAAAGGAGAGCAGGACACCAACACAGACTCCAACTGATGCATCTTCCTGGAGCCCATGGCACCATAACCTCCACCCCCAGAACTGGAGCTGCCATACTACTCCACTCCTCCTTAGTACCCTAAACCCATCACCAACACACATACTCATACCATAGGTAAGCTGTCACTAGCCTCACACCTGACACCTAGCACTGCCTTGCACTCACTGGTTCCAGATGGTGCCTCAAGACCCCCAGAACGAATGTCCTTATGTGCCTCTCAGAATGGGTACCAGATGCAGCACTGCCGCGCACCTCATTTGGCTGACACATTTGCACTACAAGGCTGATCCTTCACCACTAAATCTGGTCCAAAGTGTCTTTAAGAGGTGACTGTTCCTTCAAATGTACAAAGACCAATATGAGGCTACATAGCACACAAACCATCAGGGGATTATTACACTGCAACAACACACCAATTTCCAAGAACTTACACCAGAGTAATGGGGATCTATGAACTGTCTGACAAAATAACTGGTTTAAGAAGCTACAAGAAAACACAGGGAGACAACTCAATGATGTCAAGAAAACAGTACATAAGAAAAATGAGAATTTAAACAGAGATGGAAGCATTCAAAAGAGAATGTAAACCAAAAGATGAAAAGGAACCGAATTTTAGAGCTGAAAATGAAAAGACTTAAATGAAAAATGAAACAGAGAGCTTCAACATAAGTTTCAAATAGGAGAAGCAGCCAGTGAATCTGAAGACTAGTCATTTAAAATTATCCAGTAGAAGAGGAAAAAAGAATGAAAATAAGTAAAGAAAGCCTATGGGCTTATGGAACATCATCAAGCAAACCAATATCCACATAATGAAAGCCCCAGAAGTAGAAGAAAATCAGAAAAAAAAAAAGAAATGAATAATTTGGACTAATTACTGAAAGAAAAATTACTGAAACATCTCATTCAGGGGAAGAAATAGAAAAACAGATTCAAAAAGCCGAAAGGACTCTGAACAAGTTGACCAAAGCAAATATATTTACCCCCAAACACATTATAATTAAATTGGCAAAAGTTAAAAGAGAGTTTTGAAAGTATCAAGAACAGAGTGTCTCATGATGTATATAGAAATAAAAGTATCAGTGGATTTCTCAGCAGAAAACTCACAGGCCAAGAAAAAATGGGATGATACATGCAAAGTCCTGAAAGAAAATAACCTGCCAATCAAGAATACTATATCTGGCCGGCGCCGCGGCTCACTAGGCTAATTCTCCGCCTTGTGGCGCCGGCACACCGGGTTCTAGTCCCAATCGGGGCGCCGGATTCTTTCTCGGTTGCCCCTCTTCCAGGCCAGCTCTCTGCTGTGGCCAGGGAAGGCAGTGGAGGATGGCCCAAGTGCTTGGGCCCTGCACCCCATGGGAGACCAGGAGAAGCACCTGGCTCCTGGCTTCGGATCAGCGTGGTGCGCCAGCCGCAGCGCGCCAGCCAACGGCAAAAGGAAGACCTTTCTCTCTCTCTCTCTTTCTCACTGTCCACTGTGCCTGTCAAAAAAAAAAAAACAAAAACAAAAAAACAAAAAAACAAAAAAAAAAAAAAAACAATGAGATAGAGTCTTTCCCAGACAAACAGGAGTTGAGGTTGTCTTCCACCACTAGATCTACCTTATATGAAATGTTTAGGGACGGGAGTTGTGGTGTAGTGGTTTAAGCCTCTGCCTGTCATGCTGACATCCCATATAGGCACAAGTTTATGTCCTGGCTGCTCCATTTCCTATCCAGCTCCCTGCTAATGCACGTGGGAAATCAGCTAAAGATGCCCCAAGTGCTTGGGTCCTACCATCCATATGGAAGACCTCAGAAGCAGCTCCTGGCTTCTGGTTTTGGTTTGGCCCAGCCCTGGCCACTGCGGTCATTTTGGGAGTGAACCAACAGATGGAAGCTCCCTCTTTCTCTGTGTCTCTTCCTCTCTCTGTAATTTGACTTTCAAATAAATAAATAAATAATTTTTTTAAAAGAAATGGTTAAGGGAATTCTTCAAATTCAAACAAAAATACAAAACAATAATGTTAAAACATTAAAGCATAATTTCACTGGTAAAGGTAAATACATAAACAAATACATAATAATGTAGTAGTGTAATTGTGGAGTGTAAATTCCTTTTAACTCTAATATAGAAGTGAAAAGGCAAACATTTATTAATGTATATACAATGTAAAAAGAAATAAACTCTGACTATAGGAACACAAAATGTGGGCAAGGAAGTAAAAGCACAGAGTTTTTGTGTGCAGTTGATATTAATTTGTTATCAACTTAGACTACAAAATATTTTATGCAGGCCTCAATATTATCACAGAGGGAAAAACACTTATAATAGATATAAAAAAGATAAATAGAAAAGATTCAAAGCCAACCATTACAAAAAAAGAGCAAATAACAAAAGGAATGCAACAACAAAAAAGGAAACCATCTCTATTCAATATAGTATGAAAATTCTAGCCCAAGCAATTAAATGAGAAAAAGATA